AAATCATTATAAAGTATATAAAGAGGCAAATAGCATCTAGGGTGATGAGTCCTATTCCAGAGATATGGACAGGAGCTGGCTTAATGGTTACAGCAATGAGGTAATAGACTTTATTAATTTTCTAACTCTCTGATGAGGAAACGGAGACTGAGAGAGCCCAAGTAACCATCTCTGAGGTCATGCAACCAATACATTGAGGGAGCAGGCATTGAACTCTTGTCACTGACTCCTCTTTGTACTTTACCCAGCTGCCCTCAGCTTCTGTGAGAGTGTCTGCAGGCATGCTGGTTGGAGGGGGTAGGAATAATATTATTTCATTTATGTTTTATTTATGTGGCGCTGTGATATTTATCTAGCAGCTTTCATCTGGGAGATATGAAGTGTTTTATAAATGGGTTCTTATTTTTTCTCCCTCCCTTCCACTCCTCCACCTGAGTCCTTGAGAACCAAAGAGGTTTCCAGGGAAGACCAAGGTCACAAGGGTGGACAGTTACACATGAGATGGTGGTTCCCCATGTGTGGATACAGCTGTGTTTGGTGATAACAGCAATCATCTCTTATATTTGTATATCCCTCTGTTGTTTACTGACCTGTTTCATGTCCAACTTCCATTTGATGCCCACACCAGTCATATGAAATTGACAGACAAGCATCAGTTTACAGAGAAGGAAACTGAGGTCGAGAGAGATCAGGTAAACTGTCTAAAGTCACATGGCCTGACATAAAAGGAGTGGAGAGTCAAACCCAGGTCTGCTGATTCATACAAAAACAGTGGTGTGTAATGGCTAAGAGGCTGAACTTTGGAATCAGGCTGAATTGAGTTTGATTCTGATCTCCTCTGTGCCTTCAGGGCTATGCATGTGGTGTGGTGGACTTCATCTTTCCAATCCTGTTTCCACATCTGTGAAGCTGGCAAACCAATCATTTCTACTCCAGAGAGCTGTGAACAGCCCATATCAGTTATACATAAAGTTCAATAACTTATCACAGTGCCTGGTAGGTAGGGATCTCTCAATAAACAGCAGCTACAACTAAGATCCCAACCAAGGTCTCTTTCCACTATAACCAGTGTTTGAGAGGAAGGCCTGGAGTTCACATACACCGGAGAGGCTCTGTTGGCAGGCAGGTCAAGGTCCAGGGTTTACCTGAGCTGCCCCCCAAGTGAAGGTTCCATATCCCATTCCCTCTCCTCCAGGCATTAGCCTCTGTGTGGGGCGCTTTCTCAGGCAGGCTGTCTGAGGCAGCAGCTGTGGGAGGCATACACTCCCAGGACTCACCCCCACACACTCTGCCCACCTGTCTCCACTCCTTGCCTCTGGCAGCCCCATTTTGCCTAGGAGAAGAGCAGCAAACTTGCGTCCTCAGGTGCTCTCCTCTTAGCTCCCCCACCCCAGGGTAGAGCCAAAGAAAACCAAAGCACTCTGTTTGTTTTCTAAGCCAGAGCCAGGAGCGATTCCCGTAAGGCGCTGCCTAGCTTAATGGAGCTGTGTCTGGGCCTTGCCTCTAAGCCAGGCTCTGGCAGTCAGGAGGCTGCTCTCTTCCCTGGCTCCACCAGCGACCGTGGCATTTGCTTAAGGTGATTCAAAGTCGAGGCCAAGGGGACAGAGATGGCAGGAGGCTTGGTTCTGGTTCTGTCTGCACTGACTCACAGCGTGACTCTGGACATGACCCTTCCCTGCTTCAGGCCTTGGTGCCTCTGTCTCTCTACCTTTACCAAAGGGCAGCTGCTTCTGTGTCAGTAATTCCTCACCCTGAGTGCGTAGGAGAATGACTTGGGGGAGGTTTTAAAAATGAATGCCTGGGCTCCATCCCCATAAATTGAATTGAATTGGCTTGGTATAGGGGTCTGACTTCCCAAAAGCTGAATAGGTGATTCTTGTGGGCAACCAGGGTCGAGATCTATGACCCTAAAACAAGGCTGAGGTGCCTGTGAGCTCTCACATTAAAGGATTCTATGAAACAGATACAGGAATAAGAAGCAGAGACTTCTAAAAGGAGAAAATCTGATTGGTCTTTGTCTTTAAAGTATCACCTAATTACGTTGTCTCATTGGACAGGTGGAAAAATCGGGGCCGCAAATTAAGGGATGAGTTTAAAACCACATAATGAGTTGCTGGTGTCCTGGTCTAGAACCTGGGTCACCTGAATCACATCACAAACTACAAAAATGTCGGTAATAAAAAGATCAGAGGAGGAAGAGGAAGAGGCTGAAAAGAAAGAAGGAAAGGCAGACAAGAGCAAATAAAAAATGGAAGGAAGTGAAAGAAAGGAATGGGAGGTCAGGAAAGAGAAAGAGGTAAGATGTAGAGGGAGAAAAAGAAAAAAAGCCACAAATGGGGCACAAGCAACTCAGATAGTACCCTGTGAGTCAGGGCAGCTCTGAGCCATACTTGGCTGTACAGCTCGTATTCGGCAATTGCAACCCAGGCAAGAGCTCTGATCCCAGCTGGGGCCCCAGGCCTGGGGCTGGAGCCTGCGTGGGGGCGGTCTGACTCACAGCTGCTACTTCCTCACCCTGTTTCCAGCCTCTTGCTCAATCCAGGCAGCAGGCAGGATAGATGCTCTTTTGCAAGGTGATCTAAGCCCAGAGGGCCCTGCAACCTTTATGAAAGGATTCTGGTTAGGTGTAGGAACAAATGGGGCAGGAGACCCTGTACTCCTGTACTCCTGCCATGCGGAACAGTGAGGTAACTCCCGAAGCCGCTTGCCCTTTCTTGCCTCCAGACCTTTGCTTGATGCCCACTTCCACTGGAGTGCCCTTCCCCACAGAGACCCTGCCTCGCATGGCATCTGAGGCCTTCCAAGTCTGGTCGTGTAATATCTCTCTACTCGTGGTTCCCTCCATGCTTTCTACACTAACTATAAGGCAATTTCTTAAAAGTAATGGCAAAACCGCAATTACTTTTGCACCAACCCTAAGACGTTTCCTTCTCCTCACCTTTGCTTATGATGCACTCACTCTCCTATGCAATGGAACCCACAGGCATCTTTCAAATCCCACAAGAAATGTCCTTGCTTTAATTCCATCCTTCCAAATGTCTTTATCTGATCACTACAGTCAGAATCATTCTCTTCTTCTATAACTCCACATCAAGTGTTCAGTCTGTCCCCTGTAATACTTAGTACTCTGAGTCTTTTGTCTCAGACCACAAAGTTCGAAGTTCTATGTGACCAGATTTACATCTATATAATGTCTCTGGGTGTAAACTGTGGACTGTGACCGATTTGGGCTTCCATCTAGCTTCTACCACCTGCTATCTGTCTGCTTAAAAGCACAATATCTTCATCTGCAATACAAACATGTCCATTTTACCCCTTACTGTAGTTGTTAGCCTTAGTAGAAATAATACAGGAGAAGAACCAGGAACATAGTGCCAGCTTTGAAAAAGAGTTACTTTGCTGTTGTCATGAGTCGTCTATGGGATGGCCTACAGGATCCTGTGCTGGGCCTGGCCTGGAGTGGTCTTTAGAACATGTAACATACAATACTCAGCTGAAGCTTGATTGCTCTCTGAAAACAGTGTGGGCAAGGAGGAGACTGGGAGAGGCGAAGGGAAAGAAAATAAGAATGCACCCAACAACGCTGCAATATAAGGATGTTGCTCTTCTCTTTGACTGGTGAAAAAAACGAAGGCTGGCAGATCTATAGCAACTTTAACACTCAAGAACGCATTCCCTCCTCCTAATATCCCTGAGAGATAGGCAGGAATTCCTGTCCCTGACAAATGCAGAAAGATCCAACCTAAAGCAGGGTGGTTGGGACAAGGTAAGGTTTGGTCTTAAACTCTTCTGCCCTTTAGAGGCCTTGCTGTAAGGCTCCACTGCCTGCTAGGAGAGGAAGCAGTCTTGGCTCCTGTTAGGAATAGATGTCAGCCTTTTGGCACAATGCAACCCAACTGCCAGCATAAAGGAAGCTGCATGTATTCAGGGAAACCCTGTCTGCTCTGCCTTTCACGGGAAGCCAGGATGTGCAGCCAGGAGAGAAGGGGCATTCAGAGGGCCTGGGAGACCCATGGTGAAAACAATCAGTTTGTTTCATCATCCCAGGGAGATTCTCAACCAGGGTGAGTCTCAAATATTACTAGATATAAAAATCACCTGGGGAGAGTGTAAAAAATAAACAAAAATCCCCAAAGATTCCGATTCTGTCATTTTGGGGCCAACCTAGTCATTTGCATTAATCAACATGCTCTCCCTGACGATTCTGATATAAATGAATCACATGTTGCAAAACACTTTAGCTTATTCCCTGATCTAAATCATATCCCTCTCCTCTCAGTCAGTCTACCCTCCTTCAGAATTATCGTTCACTGAGAACACTGAGAAAATCAATGTGCATATCCCCTTTACTTTATTCTGCCATCACCCATAATTTCCTCCTTTCCTGTTTCATCTGGGCCCTAGACTAGGAGAGGGATGTTTGAGAGAGTAACAGCAACCCTCAACCTCTATAAAAACAGCCCCTGCCCGTCCTGGCTCCTTGGGACTCGGTTCTATCAGTTACTGCATTTCCTTTCCTCTGGAATTGCTTCTCCTTCAGTCTTTTCACTTGGGGGACTGACCCCAACATTCAGTCAGTGGTCTTTGTTAAACAATTTGTGCCTGTATCCACTCTGCCCATTGTCTTTTCCTCTAGCACCCCCCATGACACAAACACACATCACCCATGTCCCATGGAACCTACCCCTCAGCACCTTTATCCTCACTGCCATTGTTCTAGTTTAGTCCTTATTTCTCCCGAGAACATTATAGTTCGATGAGGCTAGAAAAGACAGTATGAGAGGAAAACAAATCAAGCTGGAGAGTGCGGGAGCAGGACCTTCTAGTCTCAGATTTTCAAGAAATAGGAAGAGCTGCGAAGAATTGTAGGGGAGGTAGAGAAAAGGAAGATGCTATATAGACGTATGATATGGGCAACAGATTTTGAATTAGCTTGCCACATATACATATGCATATATATATATGCATATACATACACTTGACTGCAATAATTTTCAGAGAAACCAAAGGTATCCATGAAGACTTTGCTTCCTTCTTCCAGTAGCTCACAGAGACCAAAGTTGGCACACAGTACCCTCCTAACACCAAACACTCTACAATTCCTTCTACTTGGGATGTGTGAAAGCACAGACGGGTCAGTAAGGTGTTTTCTTAGTTAACTTCCTCCCCATGCCTCAGATCTGTTACATAGAATGAGCATATCATTGGGAAAACAATGTGTTTTGCTCATTTTATTTATTTTCTTTGAGAAAATTGGTGTCAGGGTTAAGGGAGATAAGTGTTTTTCACACGCTTTTATTTGAACATAGAACTATTTATTTCTAATAAAATTTCATGAGAAAACTCAACAGGGAGGTAAGGCATTCTGCTAGTAGCAAGAACTTAGTAGGCTCAAGCTCCCATCCACTAGAATTTGCTTCTAATAGTGATTCCTGGGGTGCCTCAAAGTATGCCTACAGTCTAATAACATCATTTTGAAACTGCTGATCTAGTCCAATCTCATTATTTTGAAAGAAGAGAAGGGGAGACTTATCAGAGCTCATGTATCAAGTCAGTGGAACTGGGATTTGAACCCTTAATCCCGACTCTCATCCCAGTACTCCACCAGCTAGAGGACTCTGCTATGTGTTCTGAAGTGACAGGCCCAACTCAGGAGTCAAAGGAAAAATAAAGATCCCAAGGCCTGGTGCCGTGAAACTCGGCATCACTAGGGATTATGTTTGGGACCAGACACTCTGATCCAAGCTGCATGGACGCAGTCAGTGAGCGTATACAACCTCTGCAGGGCAGTCAAGGGCTTTTCTTGGGATTTTACAGCTTACAGTGGAAATTAATGAAATTATTAGTGTCATGAAGATAATGAGAAAAGTTGCAGCGAGGTTGGCTAGCAGGACTGAAGATGAAAAGACTCACTACAGAGAAGGTTCAGGCAGCATCAGAGGATGGAGCCAGGTAAGACAGAGAGTTGAAGGCTTCCCCTGGCTGGGTATCTTAAAAGATGTCTGAGTCAGGCTCAGGCAAAACCTCCTCCTAAAGAGCAACATCCCCCTTCCTCCTCTTTCTTCTTTTTTTAATGGTTTGCTGGTTTGAGGAAGAATCTGTGAATCTGCAGACATGCCAGGGAAGAAGCCAGAAAGTCTACCTTCGAGTCTAAAACAAGAATCGTCAATAATCACTCTGACCTCACTTCATTTTAGTTTCCCAATTAAAAATAAATAAAATGTACAACTTTAGATGTTAATAGCATTCACCTCTAAAGAGCCCTAGGGGAGGGAGGGAAGTCCAGAGAGCACTGGCCTAGTGGTCAGTGCTTGTTTTCCTTCATTTTTCTCTTCTGAACTTCAACTTTCCTTCCTCTCCTATGTCACTGTTATCCTCCACCGATATTTTCTGCACGGAAACTATTTGACCAGGACAGTGTTAGGCTTTGCAATGGAACAGAAAACACATGTGAGAAAAGTGTTCCCCTCTCAAAATGTTTATAAGCATGCAGCTCTGAGATGCAGCAGAAAGTGTGATTGCTTAGGGATCATGAAGACTTGAGCCCAAGTCGAACTTTTTACCTTCCTAGGCTGGCGTGATGGACAAATCACTTCAGCTGGTCCTCCATTTCTCCATGCATTAGGTAGGGACCATCATACCTACCTAGTAAACCTAACCACACTGCTAGTACTCAACAAAGGTTATTGCTCTTAGAAAATCTGGGAAAGTCAAATTTGGGGTGAATCTGTCTTTTGGCTGTCTACCTTTAGGCAAAAGTCGAAGTTTTAGAAAATTGCTGTGGAAAAACAGGGTTATCAGCCTCTAAAGGGTCTTCTATTGCTATGGGTACATGCATCTAAAGGTGTAAGTTACTTAATGAGTATTGAATGAATGAATGAATGAACAAGCTGCCCATAGTCAAAGTTCAACATGCATGTGACTCATTTACTTTTTAGTTTTTATAATTTAGCATGGATTACCTAATTGCTTTATCACTATAACAGTTATTTTAGTTCACTTAACTTTCATGTCCTTTTTACGTGTGATGGAAACATATGCAGTGGGAGATAGAATGCTAAAAATGTATTCTCTCTCTTAATGATACCATAGACGCAGAGAACTGCTTAAAAAACATGTATAATATTTTTCTCAACAAAATCCTTACCTAGGAGACCCCATACATGGAAAGTGAATTGTTTCCTTCAAAGAGGCAACTTGGTGTGTGTTAAGAAAGCAGGGAGGACCCACTTTTGGGTCTGGTGTCAAGCGTCTAGCTCCATCATTGTCATAGGTTCGCTATGATCAGAAGCCGGTCCCTTCCATAGTAAAAATCATTCTGTTGTGTTAACGATGTTTACCAAAGTGTGAGACACCTAAGAATAAAATCATTTAATGCAGAGGAAATTTCCCACACTTTCTAATTTTCTTATAGTGCTTCAAATTAAGTTACGAAAGATGGCTTGGCTGAGTGCTAATATGCCCTGGACACCTCTGTAACATTCACCAGCCTAAAAGAGAGAAGATCAAGGCTCTGGCTCAGAACATTCCAGAGGCAAAAGTATCATCCAAGATTTTATACAATTCCTTTCAATTCTTTTGTTTTCATTGTATTGATTTTTAGAGATATCTTCTATTTATGGCAGGTAATCCTGGTTTTCCATTTACGGGTAGTGATATAAATTTCCATTTTGAAATAATTGATTTTAACCAAAAATAAAAAAAGAAAGAAGAAATAAATGAGTCTGTTTCAAGAAAAACACATTAAGTTAATAATATCCCAGGTATAGCAAAATTATGAAGGTGATGCTCAGATGAGATGCAGGAAACATTGTGCTTGTTGATTTTCCAGGGTCCTTCGAGGAGGAAAACTGTGAGATTATCTGTGCTCTCCAAACCCTGAAACTGCTGGCCAGAACATTCTAATGGGGATCAAATGAACTTCAGTTTTCAGGATAGTTTCTGGGAAAACAAATTTGTATAAAGTGATACCCAGATATTCATGAGCAACAATTATCTTTAATTGGTGCTAGTAAGAGAGAAAAACAGGTCCATAGAGGCTCTGAAAAGGCTACAGTGTCCTTTAACTTTCGAGGTTGCAGAAAACAGCCCACACTGCCCAGAGGCCACCCCAGCAAGAGGCTAAAGCCCTATGTGTTCTTTGAGCTCCCCCAGTCTGTGCCTCTCTGCTCCCTGGCCAAGAAAAGAGGCAAGGCCAGCTGCACAGGCCGGCCCACTTTCGTGCTGCTGAGATCTCTGAGCCAAAGTGAGCTAGAGGCCCGGATGCAGGCCCTTGCTTCTGCTCTGTCCCCACCCCCACTTAGAAATTTAGCAGAGCAGGAGGGTGAAACCAGGACAACACCAAACTGCAGAGAATGGGTTTAAGTGGGTTAGGAATGGGCTTTCCTCTCCGCACTCAGTGTAGTCCACCTCCCCACCCTGTCCCCAGCCCAGGCCATCAGAGCTTCAGCTCTGGCTGAAGGTGACCTCTGGGAAAGCTATTGGATAGTGCTCCGAAGTCACTGACATGAAGGAGGATATCCCACTTCTGGAGGAGGAAGAAAAGGAAGATGGATTTTTCCATGGATTTAACATTTACTGAACAATAAATGGGGTCAGCTGAATTTAAAGCACACCACACACACACACACACACACACACACACCACACCTGCATCTGACAGCTGAGTGACAAGAGCTGCTGGCTGTGGACTGAGGAGAGGCCTTAGGGTGCAGAGGTACAGAGAGGGAGAGATAATTACTCATGATAATTAGCAACTTGGGTCTAGGGGCTGCTAGTTCTGGGATGCACATGTGTGAGTGAGTATACTGACCCATCATTTGGATGCATCATCAACTCACAGCATGGTAGCATCAGACTGGGCAAAAATAATCCACATTCATTCATCCAATCCTCTATTCAATACCTACCATGTGCATGGTTCTGTGCTATGTACTGAGGATACAGTGGAGAATAGCTCAGACACTGTCACTGCCCTCCAAGTACTTTATCTTCCAGCAGGAAAGATAAAAATATGAATAAATAATTGGAGTAAAGCATGAGGAGAGCTCTGAGTTGAGTGCTCAAGTCTTACCTCACCCTTGGTAAAAAGTTTCTGGGAGACTGGGAAATTTTTCTTTGCACTTCTCTGTCTTGAGTTTCCTCACTTGTGACAAAACTTGAGGTGGAGGAGAGGTTCCACATCCACGGTTTTAAAGCCCTAGGGCTCTTTAAAAGTGCCCAGAGGGCTGGACATTGTAGCTCATCCCTGTAATCCCAGCACTTTGGGAGGCTGAGGTAGGAGCATGGCTTGAGACCAGCCTGGATCAGCAATCAGAGATCAGACTCCACTTTATTTTTCATAAATAATTAAATAAAATAAAAGTCCCCAGAGGCTGCTGCAAAGGAAGCTTCAACCAGATCTCTAAGCCATCTGTTTTTGTTTCATACATTGGGCTTTTCTAAAATTGTGTTTGAACAAATGGTTCTGTTAAAATAAAAGAGAGAGAGAGAAGGGGAAAGGAGGTTGACAATGACTCAATTCGATAATGACCAATATTCCTTCTAGCTCTAGCTTTCTAGAGCTGTGGGGACCCTAATGTCCCTAAGTTTAACCTATTACTCCGGATCATAAGCAAATATAAATCTATGACCAGACCCACATATTGAAGTAATTTTCTACCCACTTTACCCATTTGTTTTTCTGTAAACACCTAGAAAGCTGAATTCATTAGTATATATGTGCATACACATACATATGTGTACATTATATTATGTACACATAATATATATAGATACAGAAAAATGTAGATGGAGAGATATGTTAATATGTCTACTACTGGGTCTAACTAAGTACTGTTAAATTCAGTGATATAGTGGTTAAAAGTATAGAATTTTGAGAGTAAATCACTACAACTTCCTAGATATATGATCTGGGAGAACTTATTTAATTTTTCTATAGCTCAGTCTCTTTTTTGTAAAATGGGAAGAGAAATGCCTAACTTCTCAGTATTCTTGAATTAAATGAAAGTGTCTAATTTTTGCAGTATTCTTGGATTAAATGTAAGTATTTATAGCACACAGCATGATATGTAGCAGGTAATAGAAGCCTATAAATAATATTTCCCTTCCCTTTTATGACCGTTCCTAAATGCCTAGAGATGGATGGCCACGATTTTCTTTATGTATCCTTCTTGCTCTCAATTTAGATGGAGACGTGGCTACTTGGAAATTGTCCTTAAAGGAACCACAGGTTGGTACAGAAGTTAAAGTACCATAATTTGGAGGATCTTCAAAATAACTCTTTTGACATTATGGCGTGTATTTTCCATGCCTTTTTCCTAAGTGTATATGAAGAATGTAACATCTTTTGTCTTTGAGCAATTAAATCCTCAGGATGAAAGTGGCACAGTGATAGTACAAACAAATACAAGTTCATAGCAGACAAGCAAACACACATCTCTCATGTAGTTCTTTGGTTTTTCAACAGTTCTGAACTTGAATTTGCTTCAAGCACTGCCCATGTTCTAAGAGTCTGTGATTGAATATACGTTCTTGGATTTTTGTTTTTTGCACTAGTCTCATTACAGAGCTATAATCATAGAAATAGAATTACCATATCCACCCTGTTGATCAGTCTTTTCTTCCAGCACGTGAGTACTATGATCCCACTATGGACCATGTCCTTTATCGTGGGGACTGCGATGAAGGGTAGAGTCCCTGTCCCCACAGGACTCTCAGACTAATGTCAGCACATAGCCCCACCCCATCTTGAGTCCTAAAATTCAGCTGTGATGTTGCAGACCAGCTGGAGGCCTTCAGATAAGGTAACAATACAAATAGCAGCAGTAGTAGCAGCTTGCACTTAGGAGGGTTTACTAATATGACAGAAACTATTCTAGACCCTTTATATTTTCTGTCTCTGATTCCCTCTATACCTCTGCAAGACAAATATGGTCACTACTTTTTTTTTTAACTGCACTGAAGAGGAAAAGAAAAAAAGTGACTTGCTTAAGATAGTGCAGTCAGTGAGTAATTGAGCCAGAATTACATAACATGGTTCCCTTTTCCTCTGTGGACCAGGACTGCTTATGGAAGGAGATGAGCCACTTCTCAGCAGGATGACACTGTACAGTTCCAGGCCAATGACTTGGCATTGCTTTGGCCCAGGAAGTTCAACTCAGAGAAGTGGACCCAAGCAGCCCCGGAATTTTAGGTCTGGAAAAGTCATGTTTCCTCAGAGATGCTTGCTTTGGTCAAGCCAAGGGTTCTGACAGGGCTGTATTCTCAGACCATTCAGCTCAGCCTCAATCTTTGGTACTTATCAGACCCAAGGTTCACCTGTCTTGATACAGTGAGACACAGAAGAAAGAGCCAGGAATTGAGTTTGTCTGAGCCTCAGTTTCCTCAGATGTAAAAAGGATATGAGAGTCCGGGCATGGTGGCTCATGCCTGTAATCCCAGCACCTGGGGAGGCCAAGGTGGGTGGATCACCTGAGGTTGGGAGGTCGAGACCAGCCTGATCAACATGGAGAAACCCCATCTCGACTAAAAAATACAAAATTAGCCGGGTGTGGTAGTGCATGCCTATAGTCCCAGCTACTTGGGAGGCTGAGGCAGGAGAATCGCTTGCACCTGGGAGGTGGAGGTTACAGTGAGCAGAGATGGCCCATTGCACTCCAGCCTGGGCAACAAGAGTGAAACTCCATCTCAAAGTTAAAAAAAAAAGAATAAGAGAATATAACCTTCTACATATGACTGATGTGATAAACAAAGAAATTATCTAAATGGCCTGGCACATGGTAGATATTTAAGAAATGCTCATTCTCATTCATGTAATATTTATTGAGTGTCTACTATGAGCCAGTCACTCTTGCTGGTGCTTAGAACATACCAGTCAACAAAACATGCAAGATAGTTGCCTATGTGCAGGTTACATTCAAGGGTAGGAAAGTAGTTCTTAACCAACTCTTAAATGCTTCCTTGCCAGGCAATGACAAAGGAGCTTGCCTCCTGGTGAGGCCTATGCCGTGTGGGACTGGAAGAGATCTCCCCTCCTCTTCCCTGTGTGTTAAATGTTACAGTCAGAAAGACCCTTGGATACTCCACTCTGGGTATTTGTGATGCTGTAAATCCCTTGCCCTAACCTTATTCCGTCCCACAAACCAATTCAAGAGAGCTGAGACCTTGGAAATCACATCAGACCAGATGGATGAGAAAATCATCTAGGGAGAGGAAATTCAACAAACATATGCTGAATACATCTCTAGGCAGAGCCCTATGCTTCTGGTGCTGAGAAACAGGCTGGAGCACATACACAGTTTCCTTCACAACTTATTTGGACGATAATTCTTCTCTGAATTAAATTACAATTTATAGTCTTTTTTCTTTAATCTCACTTAGTGTGTTTGTGTAAGTACATATCTAGCTGCAGAAGTAGGAAGTATGATGATGAGGATGTATCTGCAAATCCAATGAGAATGTTACAAAATATAAGGTATACGCACTGCAGTGCCTTTCTAAAAATCCAAAAAGAAATTCTGATTCCTGAACACATCTAATACCAAGGACCTTGGACAAGGTACTGTGGACCTTTAGCACTAATTTCCTTACTTTGCATGAGAAAGCTGAGCTTCAAGGAACCTAAGGAACTTGTCCAAAGTTACACAGCTAATAAGTAACAGAATCAGAACTTGAACCTGGGAAGTCTGACTTAAGAACCCGTGTTTGTAGCCTTTATATTATTCTGCTGCCTTCCTATTCCTTGAACTATTAATTTTCTTCTTCTTTTCTTCCTCTTTCTTCTTAGTTTACTCTTCACAACACTCTAAAAGGTACTTACTATTATTGTCTCTATTTTACTTAAGGCCTTGCTGCTTAATAAGTAGCAGAACTGGGATTTGAACCCAGGCTAGTCTTGCTCTAATTCTCCTATTTGTAACTACTGTACTATACTGCCACAGCCAGTGAGGTCCCCAATAGGCTGCAGTTAACACATGACTTACACATTTCTTTGGCTTATATACACCACCTCTCTTGCCTCCTTGCAATTCATTCCCCACATAACAGCCCAGTGATACTTGTAAAGTGAAATCTCATCACATCACTAATTCACTAGCTCCTTCACTCATTCCATAAACCTTCACTCATTCCATAAACTTTTCTGGTCAGTAAGAAGGCAGTGATCAATAAAATAAGTCTACCCCTTATGGAGTATCAAGCCAGCCAGTCCCCAGATTTCCATTATATTTAGAATAAATCCAAAAATCGTAACATTAGACCCAGCGGATCTGGACTTCCCTATCCTTTCTCCCCGTCTCTTCTTGTTCTTTCTCACCCTCTCTGCATAGTAACCTTCAACAAGTTTGTCTATAGGTCCATCATTCCAGCTTCCTTCTAGCCTCAAGTCTTTGGCACAAGTGAGCTCTTTCTTCTGGATGGTTCTCCCTTACACATTCATTAGTTTTATAATTCAATTGATGTGTTTGTCTCCTACTAGACCACAAGTGCCACGTGGTCAGAGCTATGCCTTATCTTCTTGACATATGTGTCCTTATCCTCTAGCAAAATGTCTCTGAGGCCTGGGAGGCATTCAATAGGTAATTTTTGAATAGTTGAAAGCATGAACATTATGTTAGGTGCACAGAATTTAAGTATTAATATTTGGGTCTGGAAGGGAGGCAGAGAGGGAAGATAGTCAGAAAGCTTTTCAGAAAAAGTGAAAGTTATTTAAACTACACATCACAACTGGTATTTGGCAAAGCAGCCAGGAAAGGTTCCACAAGAACAAAGAAAAATGTGCATATGTTGTTATGCTAGGATGGAGTAGACATAGAGATATCTAGATGAACTTTCGGTAGTTTGTAAAAATGAAGCTGAGAGAGAGCCTAGAGAAAACAAGGCTGGAGGACTAACATGTTGAGAACCAATGCTTTGAGAGAGTGTCCCTGCTTCAGACTTATCCCATGAGCACAAATTGTCCAAACACTCGCACATAGGTTCCCTCCTGCCTAATATCCTCCAATCTAGTGTGCATCATGATACATGTGGTCATCTTCTTACGTCTGTCTCCCCTGCTATGCCAGAAAGTTCTTGTGAACAATGGCTAGAACTTAATCATCTTAGCTTCTTCAATGCCTTGACTGAAAAGGGCCCTTGGTAGAAGTTCAAGAAATATTTATTAATTTAAATGAAACTGAAGTAAAATAAAATGTACTGAGGTAAAATCAGTTGTATTTTTCTTCTCATCTCTCCACTACACCAGTTACCATCTTCCACTTCCTAAGGTTTAGCTGGATCATCAGGTTCCAGGTTGAGAAATGTTATTACAAATTAACACAAAGGAATTACGCAAATTTACACAAAGAAGACAAAGTAGACCACCAAAGAGAAAAAACAAAAACAGAGAATTACTTTGAGAAAGACACATATAAAATGAGATCGGGAAAACAAGAGTCTCCTTGTCAAAATCTGAAGGGGCCTGTTGGCATCTCTCACAGCCCCAGGGAGCAAAGATAAAGATCCTGTCCTTATGGGTATCAAGCTGCATCCATTACATACCACAACGAATTTAATTATTACGGCATGAACTGACCTGCCAAACTTTTATTGTTGAGACTACTTGAGAAAGTAGCTATAGAGGGTAAGAAGGAAAAAGCCATGCCCTTGTCCTCCATTGACCTGGGACGTAAGTTTCCCCTTTTCATTCCCTTGACTTCCTCCCAGTTCTCACAATTGTGATTCTCCATATTCCTTTAGGAGTTCCCTACTGGCCAGAAAACTTTTAAGTGTGAGGTATTTATTCTTCCTGAGCAGCCCTTTTCTCAACAGGCAAGCAGGAGGTAGAAATCAAAACCAGGGTGGCTGCCTTGGGCCCTGAAGCTAGAGTGACAGAGGTTGGCTGAGGTTAAACCAAAGAACAGTCCAGAAGATGGGAGAATCCCAACAAATTTTCAGTCAGTATTTCCCAAAGTGAGTTCCTAAAAATTCTTCTTTTAGAAAAAAGCATCATAGTCAAACGCATTTAGGAAACTTTCCTTAACAATCCCCTCTCTTTGAAATTCACAAGCCCTCTGACATATTAAAGTTTCTGAAAAGTCATTGAATAAAGAAACCTGTACATTTGATTAACCAACATTTTTTCAAAGTAACAGGTTCCAGAACTGTTTTTATATTCTATGGCTCACATATTAGCATTCCACTGGACTAATGTTCTCCTGTGTGAACTTTGGAGATCAGGTCAAGGAGAGATGAGCATAACATTGACAAGTTAAAGCATGCTTCTTGGGCTAAGCACAGTGGCTCGTGTCTGTAATGCCAGCACTTTGGGAGGCCTAGGTGGCTGGATTACCTGATGTCAGGAGTTCGAGACCAGTCTGGCCAACACGGTGAAACTCCATCTTTACTAAGAAGAAAAATATAAAAATTAGTGTAGTGCCTGTAATTCCAGTTACTCAGGAGGCTGAGGCAGAAAAATTGCTTGAACCTGGGAGGTGGAGGTTTCAATGAGCCGAGATCATGCCATTGCATGTCAGCCTGGCCGACAGAGCGAGAGACTCTGCCTCAAATAAATAAATAAATAAATAAATAAATAAAAAGAATGCTTCTTGGAGAAAGCAAAGGTTATGCATGACTTTGAAAACTCAAGGATGAAGAGGCACTGATTAAGCAGAAGACAGAGAGAAGGTTCAGAAAGCTCATGTGTTAATTTAACACTGCATTTAATAAATAGTCATTCAGTGCCTACTCTGAGCCAGAAAGTATGCTTGGTCTTTAAGTTACAGAGATGATGAAGAAAGGCCTAAGCCTTGCCCTCATGGAACTTGCATTCTGCAGAACAGAGGTAAGCAGACAATCACAGAGCAATTTTTCTATTCAGTATGACAAAAGAGAAGGAACTGGGGTCTGAGATTAGTTAAGAATTCTCCAATAGAATAGCAAGGAAAGACTTTGCAATAGAGAGAACCACATGAACAATGGTCTCCTTGCCATCCTCCAGCACATCAGGCACAATCCCATCTCAAGGTCTTTGCACTTCCTCTTTCCTCTGCCTGTGACACTCTTCATTTAGGTCTCTCATCTCCTTCTGATCTTTGCTCCAACGTTGTTCTTTGCCGACTTCCTTATTTAAAACTAGGCTAGACCCTCAACTAGCATAGTTGTCTTTTTTGTTTTTCTGTATCAATTATGAACATCTGATAAAATGTTTATTTTATATGTTTTTTTTCCTTTTTCCTCCTAGAATCATATTTTAGAGCTGAGTGAATGGGGCCCCTGGATTGCACCTGCAACCTCATGTTCTAGAATGTTGGTTCCATGAAGGCATGATTTTGTCTCTTTGGTTCACTACTGATACCAGTGCCTGGTACATAGTAAGAAGTCAATAGATATTTGTTGAATAAGTGAATTTAGTAGATAAAAAGCATGGGAGATTTCAAGGACAAAGAAGAGAGGTAGAGGACGAGCATATATATACCATAAATTCGTTACAAAGCACACAGATTACAGAACTAGTTTAAGATTGATACTATGTCTATTTTATAGTTAAGTGGAAGATCAGAAAGGTAAAGCGTCTAACCCAGTGCCACACAACAAATAAGTAGAGAAGTCTAGAGTCAAACCTAAACCTGATTCAAATAGTTAAAATGACAAAGCCCTGATTAACTTTTAGTGATCGCAGGTGGCTCTTTGGGTCTTGCTCTTCCATGTTAATGCTTTCTCCCCTGAACTAAACATGGAGCTTTCTGAGGTGGTCCAAAGTGCATGGAACTGATTGCCTCCTGGTCATGGGATTGATAAATAATGGCATAGTAGCCCTTGGGGCTGGGGATGACTCAGCAGACCAGAGCTGAAAAAAGAAGCCCATCTCTCCCCACCCTGAACGCGTCATTCATTCTTTCATGCCAGGCGCCTTGCTACCCCCATGCTGGGACAGTTAATAGCTCACTCAATAAACGGATGTGTAACAAAGTCTACTGCAAGGCCATCATTACTTGCAGATCAAGTAATCATACTTGCATCAAGTTTGACTGATCTCTGTGCTGGCCACATGATTAATTCCAAAGAGTTTTTGTCCCTTGTCCAGGGTCATGCAGAAATCCTTCACTTCTTGACTGGTAGTCTACAGATTCCCAGTGCTTATAAAATGATTTGAGAGTTTTCTTCCTCTCTCCCATTCTTCTTTCCTTCCTTTGTTATTTCATTTATTTATTTTTTCATATAGTCATATATAGATCTATTCATTCATTCATGGATTCATTTATTCATTAATTTACTCAAATATTTATATGATATTAATTTATAATCTGCATTCATTCATAAATGCATACACAGACTCAGTTTCTTAATCAAATCAGGTATTGCAAGGGATATTATGAGAGTTATCTGATCTTGGAGAAATCAACCTCTCTGAGCATCATTGTCCTATTGAAGAAGGCAGATTTGGAGCACAAACCTAAGCCAGCTAGAACCAAAGCCCTACTCCAACTTTATAATTCCCCGAGTTGAAGATGTGTAAAACACAACACTGCCGTACAAGATTTTAGTCTATAATTTTTTGACTGTGATTCATATATTTTCCATCCAAACTAGTACATACATGTAAGTCTATATAACTGAAATTCAAACTTTATGAAAAAATCCTTACCCTTGCTACACACACACACACACACACACACACACACACATATTTGAGACAAAGTCTCACTTCATCACCCAGGCTGGAGTGCAGTGGTATGATACCAGCTCACTGCAACCTCCAGTCACACCCCATACCCTTCCCTCCGCCTGCCCACCCATTCCCACCCCTTAACGAGGGCTCAAGTGATCTTCCCACCTCAGCCTCAGCCTCCTAAGTAACTGGGACCATGGGCGCACACCACCATGCCCAGCTTTTTTTGTTGTTGTTGTATTTTTAGCAGAGACAGGGTCTCGCCATGTTGTCCAGGCTGGTTTTGAACTCCTAGACTCAAGCAATCTGCCTGCCTCAGCCTTCCAAAGGGCTGGGATTACAGGCATGAGCCACAATACCCAGCCTACATCCTATTTTCTTTTTTTTAATGTTGGCTCCAATCCAGTAAGTTGACTTCACAACCTACTAATGGGTTATGACCTGAATTCAGAAAACTATGGTATAGAAGATCTAGAGAGAGACCTTCAGTTACAAGTATATATAACACAAGCTATAAACTTGGATACTGTTTCAGACTCTTCACTCATCATCTTCCACATCCAGCAGCCTTGTGTGTGTGTAGCTCTGTCTCTTACATGCCTTGTTACTGACTTTCCTTCTCTGCATGTACTGTCTCTGCCACCTCCCTGCCACATGGACCAAGCTGCCTGACCTGGTTTCCCGCCTGCTGCCTAGCCCTCCAGTCCATCCTACAAACTGCAGCCAGTGATCATTCTAAAATATGCATTTGATGGAAAGTCTGTAATAGTCTTCACTTGTCTACATTCTAATATATATATATATATATATATATATATATATAAAATTACTGACAGCCTCCCTAGCCATCACCCCCTTACTTTTCACATTATCCTGAATGTATCTCTTTACTCATTAATCTCCCCTTATGGGGTCCATAAGGTCCAGAACTGTATTACTGAAAACTTCTCCATCCCCAGAACAGTGTTTGACATAGGTTATGTGCTCAGAAAATATTTCTAAAGGTGTATGTTATGATCTGGATCAACAGGTCCTGCCGATTTGATCTGCAGCAGCCACAGTGATTCACCATGAAGAAATCCAATGACAGGGGGCTTAATTAATCAAGAGTCCTAATCTGAGTGCTCTTGAATTTTAACCCTGCATTTGCACTGAGGTCACACCTCCTACAGGCTGCTCCTAGCCAACAACTGGGCATGGCAGGGGTACAGAGGCAAGCCTATTCTAGGAGATACAGGAATCCTCCTCAGATGGTGGACTGTCTTGAGGACTCCCTAAGACTGTGCAGGCGCCTGGGATGCTTTCCCTCACTCAGGGGCAGATCCACCCCAACCTGATGGCTACCACCTAGCCTTCACAGCAAACTCCCATCTTCTCTCACACAGGCCTTTCCCCTAATACAATCCTTTGACATTTTATGCAATCTTAGCATCTGCTTCTCGGAGAATCCAAGCTAATACACTATCCTCAACGTATATATGAAAGAACCAAGCCTCAGAGAGGTCACGTGACTTGTGAACAATTGATATGACTGAGGTTTGGTTGAGTGCTGGTAAATGCTTAACGATTTGGCTTTCTGTGGGAAGACGGGAAAAGTACTGATTTGTAGCACTGGCTGATTTCCGACATATAAATACTTCCATGCTGGCCAATTTCACACTACCACTGTGAGTTCACTGAATGTGGACTTGGGAAGATATGTGTGCAGTTGTCCTCAGGAGACAGACAAGCTGGCTGTAGCATATCTGGGAGGCTGCAAGTCTCGGCTTCTGTCTCTCTGGGTGGCACCCTTGACAGCCCTCCCCAGTTCTTCCTCACTGAGTGCTCTTCTCAGCTGGCAGGGAGAGGTGCTGACAGCCTATACTGGGAAGTCTCTGTCCAAGCACTGGGCTGGAAACCTTGTAGCCATGTGACTTCTCCCTGGTTCCACCGGATGCATAGGGGCTCTCATGTCCCTAAAAAGATAGGCTCTGCCAGATGGGGAACAGTCACAGGAGGCTTGTGACATCAAAATGGCCTTAGAGGACCCTTCTGGCAGTAGCACGGAAGATGGATTGAAGGAGTGAAAGCAGAAGACAGCAAGACCAGTAAGAGGTGGTTTAAATAAGAGACATAAATTCTCAATGAAAAGTGGTATGGGAACTATTTGACAAAGAAGACAAAGGAAGGAGGGTTGGCAGGCAGAAGGCAGGACATATCATACTACTAGTTATCGAATAACTGCTAGTTATTGAAACTTCACTGCTTGCCAGGCTCTGTGCTAGGTACTTTCTCATTTTACACTCCCCTCCCAAATATCATGGTAAGGATTATGATCCCCACATCCCAGATATGAAAACCAAGCCCCAGAGAGACTGTGCTTTTAATAATAACCATAACGAAACAGGTGGCAAAAATAGTAGCTAACATTCACTGAGCCTCTACTGTATACACGAATATTATTATCACCTCACTGTAAAGATGTGGTTAAACAGCTAACATATGGTGAAGCTGAAACTGTAATTCAGGTACTTAGTCTCTAGGCAAAGGCCTAAGTATTCTGTTCTAGATGTCATTCATAATTCAGATGAAGCCCCCAAATGTGGGATACACTCTTTCATTTCTCCTTCTCACCAGTAAAGAGATTAGGAAATGTATAATGTAAAACCAAAAAAATTAAGAAATGATTCCGAGATCCATTTAGCAGACAGAAGACCTAAGGTGACCTCCCTATTGGGGCAAGGATGCTTGGCATTTCAGTTCAATACTGTAGTAGTGGACTAGCCTACAGTGAGCTCATCACATGGAAAGCATTTTGGATATTAAAAAAAAAAATTAATTTTAATTTTTATATTTTTAGGAGATGTTAAGTAGATAAAAAACCAAGAAAAGCGAGGGAGAAAATTCAATACATTTGAGAACAAAGGCAGCCATGAACCTTTCCATCTTGAGAACCTGAATATGTAGCCAAATCTCAGCAGACAGAGGTGTATAATGCCAGATAAATCTTGCTGAATGAGAGACCCATCCTACTGGTATAAACAACATTTGAACACTACAGCCCCCACCCTTATCAGCCAGACCTCCATTTTCTATACATAGAGTCTTTGTTGGAACACTCCAAGCCAGTTATTTCACCAACCTAGGTCTGGTCCCTCTCTAAGGCCCAGGGACAAATAATCAGTTCAGGATTGAATTGAGAAAAGATAATACTACCTTGACGGAAAAGAACCACAGGACCAAACTGAACCTGTCAAGACTTAAGGGGCCAAGGGATAGAGGGTCCCCCTCCCGAAGGAGCAAACAAAGGCAGGCAACAATTGGGTGACCTGTTAAAGAGAAAAGAAGCTCAGGACAGGGGAAGTGCCACTTTCTAGTATTACAAAAATATCCTTTAGGCAAGGTGAGGCCTTTTTTGACTCTGACACTATTTTTTTTTTAAACCAACCCTGAAAGAAAGATGATAGGGTCAAGGTTAGTTGACAGAACAGCAGGTAGGGAAGGAGATGAGACATTCAGACATCAGGAGTGTGAGCAAGACAGTCTTCTTCTCTGCACCTGAGTAATCTTCTTTCTACATCAGGCCTAATGTCCCTTCCCATGTTTCCTGAGTAGTCAAGGAAGCAACAAACCCAAGTGGTTAGGAGTGAGAACTAAGAATCAGATGGGCCTGGTTTGCATTCCATTGTTGTTACTGGCTAGCTGTGCAACCCATGGCAAGCCACTGCAAGTCTCAGAGCTTTGGTTTCCTTACATGTGAAAATGACAAATATAGGGCCAGCGTAACACAAGCATGGTGAACACCTGATGATGCAATATGTGCAAAGTGCTTAACGTAGTTCCTGGTACAATATTAAGCACTTCATAAATGTCTGCTGTTATGATTATCAATCAAAACACAGCAGTAATAAATTAAGGCATGTTACTGGAGCTTAGCTTTCCTACCGATAAAGAACTAGACAATCTCAAGTGTTCCTTCAGCTCTGCTGTTTATCTGGAAAATCACGACAGACACTCAGTAATACAGAAATGTCTGCTCCAGACCACGTGAACTGGAGAAGAGAATTTGGTTCTCTTCAGCTTCAATCCATGTTTGGGTTCGTAAGTTTTGCTGCCTTTCTTCTTTTCTCTACGTATAGACACCTAGGGAAACTCAAGATGCCAGAGATCCTTGACACCTGGCTACATGGTAGGCTGTGTGACGATGGAGTCGAGAGCTGAACCACGCAAGGACAGAGGGCCTCTGCAGGAACTCTGGGAATCAGCATGTTGGTACCTACGTGGAGTTCTCCTTCCAGACCCAGAAACTGGAGCACACAAGGCACTGGGGAAATGACCAGCAACTTCACAGCCCAAGGATTCTCTGACTGGTTGAGGGGTCTAATGTATTCTGTCACGCCATCTAATTCAGAGTCTCTTTGCTTTGACTGTCTGTCTCCTGCTTCTGTTGGCTCTTACTCAAGATGTGAAAAGCCATTGGAGATGCTTATTACCATGGAGTGGAAAAGGCAAGGGGCTTTGAAGCAGACTACTCGGTTAGAATCTGGGCTCCCTAACTTTGCTGCCTTGAGGAGGTGGTTTCACATTCCTAGCCTTCTGGTTTCTTTATCTGAAGCATGGAGCCGATAATTTCTACGTCCCAAAGTTACTTTATGAGCTTTAACTGAGATGACTGATATGCAGTGCCTGGCACAGTCCATGTAGCAGGTTTTCGATTAATGTTTACTTGGCCACTTCTTTCCTTATCAATATAAAAATAACCAAATCTTATATACTTACTTAACCCTTTACCTCTTATTATATAAGTTTTAAATTATATATCTCTATCATCTATTGTTCTGTAGGTTTTAAAAGGTGGGCTTTGAGTCTCTTTATTTCTATATCCCAGCACTCTGCATAGATGTGGGCCAGGATGGTTGCTTGAGAAAGTTTGCTGATCTCAATCTGTTTCACTGAAAATCCTATGATTCCCAGTAAGCGTTATTTGTTTAGTTACATAATAAGCAACCTTTGCTGAATCCTGTACCATCCTGACCTATCCTGTCTTTTCTGGCAGGACAAATTCTGTTAGGATCACTCATGTGTTCTCCATTTCTTTATTTTTTAAAAAGGTATATTTTTAAAAAGAAGGAGGAGATATATCCTGAGAGTTTTGGTAATAGTTTCTTTGCAACATTTGCTGCCTGGACAAAGTCAGATATGAACAGCAAGACACTCACAGGTCAGGATTAAATGAGATGGAGAAGTTTGGAGCTGATCTTCCTGGAGATGAAATGGAAGCTACAAGGACTCAGAGAGATATGATTTGATGCCACTGCCCTAGATGAGACTGGTGCCCAACCCCTAGCCCCAGGCTGGTGGCTTGCTTTCCCTGGGGCACCATCAGCCCCTGTCATAGCCACCAAGTCTATGTTGTTTCCCCCAAGGTGCCACCTGAAACCAGCTTGCTCTTTGCTATCAAAGGCAGAGAGGGGAAAGAGACCAAGCTTAGCACCCAACCTGGACTCCAGCTCTCCTTCCCTGGGTCTTCTCGCTTTTCTTCTATTTTGTCTCTTTTTCCAGCTTTCACAATCCTTTCTCTTCTCTTTCCCCATTTACAGCCTCTCCCTCTTTTCTCTTATAGAAACATTTCCTGAATTACAAGTGCTTTTGATCCATGTGGACTTAAGTCCATACGTTGAATGCGAGTGTTTGGTGTGTGCTGTGTGCTATGTGAATGGATGCCTTTTAATGTGTCTGTGTGTATGTGCTGGGTAGATCCATGTCTTTACAGTATGCCTGTGAGAAGGTGGTTGTGTTTACACATCTGTGTGCCTGTACTATTTATCTGTGATATGCCTCTTGAGGCATCTGTCACGTGTTGAGTCCAAGCCGTGTATTGTCTGTGCATGGCGTGCTATCCCCATGCTGTGTAATTTTGTATGTGTTATGCTATGGATCTATTGTATGTGTCTGTGTGCTTCCCGTGTGTGTGACCATGTGTCTCTGTTACCTGACTTTCATCGACTGTACATAGCTTGAATGTCCCTGTGGGGTGATGTGCTCACAGGTATGTTTATATGTGTTTGTGTCTGCTTATTGCCTATGTTTTTGTTTAGTCAGCTGAGATGACTGTATTGCGTATACTTGCATGTGATGGACTGTATTCATTTGTGAGTCTGCACCCTATATGATTTCTCTAAATCCCCAGGCTGCATGCTGTGTCTGTGTGGGGTTTGACACATCTGCTATCTGTAGGTACAACTGCAAATTCTGTGTGTTGCTCTGTCTCTGCCTCTGTGAAATGTGTCTGTGTGTTTTCCTTGCCAGCTCTTCTTCCTCTTCGGGTGCCCCAGCCTCTCTCCCTGCCTTTTTCTCCCCAGGCTGTGACGGCTCTCAACTGACACCTCTGCTGCTCTGGCAACCCAAGAACAGCCTGGAGAAAGGTCAGCTGGCTGCCTTCCCCGGGGCCTGCTCAGATCCTTGGATCCCAGTGGTGCCTGGTGTGGGAGCGCCCTCTGTTGGCTGTGCGGACCACGAACAGCACTGGAAACGGGCTTCCTCTTCTCTGTGCTGCTCACCCCTGAGCACTCCCAGCCTTCTTAATAAGGGACTTTTGGAGGGGAATGGGTAGAGTCCCCCTATTATCTGCCACTTATAGCACGATGCTTTGAAGAATGAAAGAGGGGGGTGTGAATAAGTGCACTGAGATACTGAGTATTCGGCAGATGTGTCTTGAGCATGGTGAGGAAGGCTTCCCTGACCACCTACTTGGGTCAGCCCCATGGGAATGAGCCAACAAAATGTGTGCAACAAAGTTAGGGAGCCCTTACTGGTGAAAGGGCCAGCTATTCTCAATTCATGTTTGAAAAAGTCAGAATCTTAAATCTATGCTTACCCAATGACTCCATGCTTTCCCTTGGGAATAATTTCCCAAGGCCTCAATTTCCCTTTTCAACAGGGACCCAAGGTGGAGACCCAATTCCAGAAAGAGGGAGGACTGAAGTTTTTCTAGTGGATTTAGCAGAAAGAGGTCAAAGCACGTTTGTGAGAAGAAAGGGGATAGTCATAGAGGCACGCAGGACTTGTAATGCCCCAGGTGTGTGATTCTAACAGACTCAACAGGAAGAGAAAGGTGCTGTGTGCACACATGCTGATTCACGCACACACACACGTATCAGGAGGCAGAACATCCAACAGCCTGCATGGCTAATATCCTGGGGTTTGAGGATATGCACATTTACTATTTCTTGCCTCATAGAAGAAACACAACGAAAGGCACCATTTCATGTAAAAATGTGAGTTTTCATTGCATTCCTTGTGCTGATGATTAAAGAAAAGGCTCTGATAAGCAATGGCTATTCTTTAACTCAGGATGACAGCTCCAGGAAAACCAAAGGACCATTTGGCCCAATTGGTCGAAAGTGTGTTCTTCAGAACATTACCTCCCATGAGACATTAATAGTTATTTCAAGGTGTGGCCAAATAAATTTCAAAAATGCAGGATTAAATAAAGTTAAATAGATTTATTTCTCATTGGGATAGCTCAGAGCCTTTAATATGATAATGTCTTATGAATTTCTAAGAAAGGAGGAGACTGCACTCAGTGTTTTACAAAAGATATGAATAATGGATTTTTTTCCCCAGAATGTTATGGGAGAAAATTCTAAACATACACGTGGGCAAAGCAAGACCCCAAGTAGCATAATTCAATTATTGTTGAATAACCACTTACTATAAGAATCATGATTTTTGTTTGTTTGCTTTTGTATGTTTGTTTTAGTTAATCTCTTTGGATCCTGTACTAACCTACATAGGTAGGTACTACGTTACCATGCTAAATAACAGTTGACAAGAGAGACTCAGAGTAGTGAAGTGGTTTGTCCCAAGCTATAACACTGGTCAGTGACAACAATACTCAATACCAAGCACGTCTCTATAAACCGTATACACTTCCACTTTGCCAACTCCTCTGAGCATGATTTTACAGAAAGTTTAAAAATGCAATTGTTCCCAAAGCCATACGTTGTACTTAGAATTATTTTAAAAATCATATAAGAAAGAGAAACAGAGTACTAAAAAATGTGGACAAGAAGTGGCATTGTACATCCAAGGTGAAAGGACTGAGGGAGACCTGAGATAGTCAGGGAAAACTTTGCAGGGGAAGTGAATTTTACTTATGTTCTGAAGGATAGAGGAGGCTTAGTTAGATCGAAGGTCAGAAACTTTTTAATGTAAAGTACCTGGTAGTAAATATTTTCTGTTTTGTGAGCCATACGACTCTGTTGCAAGTGCTTGACATTGCCATGCAGCGTGAAAGCAGCCATAGATAATGTGCAAATAAAAGGACATGGCTGTGTTCCAATAAAACTTTATCTATAAAACAGGCAGCTAGCCCATGGGCCCTAACTTGCCAAGCCTTAAGTGAGAAGGAAAAAGGTAGGAAATTAGGCCTTTTTGGGGTAAAAGAATCACTTTTAAAAAGATAGTGAGCAGTATACTCAAAGGCCAGTGCCAGGTCCCAGGCCTGCTCATAACTGTTCCCTTTCTGTCTCCCACTCCACCCAACCCCATTTCAATTGTGTTCTAAGCCCTGAGGGTGAGCTTATTGCAGCTATGCAAAGAGAAAGCTGCCTGCATTTGAGATAAGCTGAATAAACAGCTCACTGATCCTAGTGGAAGGTGCTTGTGAACATGTGCCTGGATTTAGTCTTTTGGGAGGGCAGAGAAAGACAACAAACCCAGTTTCCTCTTGAAAAAAGAGATTGGCCTTTTCTCTTTTTGAGAAGTCAAGGACAATGCTAAAATGCTTGCCCCTTTCTACAGACTGGGTTTGGACTACCTGCCCCTTTGCAGATAGCAAAGCCAACATGCACAAGTCCCACTTTCATCTGATATATCAGAGCAACATTTCTGCTATTTTATCTGTAGCAAAGATCCCATGATGTTATTCTTTTGCACATTAAACTTCAGCAACCCTCCAACTGGTATGGGCTCAAAATCAGATGCAGCAGCCTGGCACTCGGTGAAAGACCATGTACATTCAGCAGATTTCAAGTTAAGATTCCATCCTTATTCCCTTCAGCATCCACACCAACTAAAAAGTACATTTGCCTTGGTGTCTCTTGACCTTGTGCATGATTCACACGCTACTACCTTCAGACGTTTGTACTTGCGACTAGAACAGTCTACTTTCTTCCTTTCATTCAAGTCCTACCTTGTCCTTCAAGGCTCCACTTTTTAATTCCTTCTGCTTGGAGATAACATCTGTATTTAAATTACCACAACCCAGATACTGCAGTATCACTTTTATTGGCTTGCCTTTTTTTTTCCAAAATAAAATTAAGTTTTTAATAATTATAAAAATACAAGCTTACTGATTTAAAAACGCAAGTGTTCTGGAACATATAATTAAAAAAAAGAAA